AAACCCAACTTGGGCATCCTCCCTTTTTCATTCGGAAGAGTTAAAACTGAGCAAGCGGGAGACCGGGAGAGCCGAGGCCCGTCTCCCTTGCGTGGAAGGACGACTGTAAGATTCTACCGTGCATTAGCGGAACGAGAAGCAGCGGGCGTGAAGTCATTCCCGGACGGAGAGAAGTGGGTGGGGACTGAAAGCTGAGCCACCGCCCTCCGGCTCTGCCCCCCCCTTCGCTCCCGCCCCACGGTACGCGCGCTCTTGCGCGCGCACGCACATATTGTGTGGGAAGGGAAGACAAATCTGTCTGAAGACACTACGTCCTATCACGTGCTCGCTAGCTCCTGCCTGGTTCGTATTCTAAGGAATGTTTCCAATCTTTGGAAAAGAAAGAAAAGAGAGAGATCGGCTTCTGTTCAGGGTTCATTTAAGGATGGGTGTGTGTTTGTGTGTGTGTGTGTGTTTTTCTCTCTATGTCTTGAGTAACACCATACTGTCGAAGGGATATTTGGGCGTTCCATTTAGGAATTCTCAAGGAAAATCTTGTCTGCGTTCATCGTCTGTTAAACAAAAGGAATTTTCAACGTCGTTCCTTCTTCCTTCTTCTCTGTAGTTCTTACACGTATTGAGAATTGGAGGTCAATATAAGACTGATTTACGGCATTTATTTTTCGAATAAATGGCAAGCGCTTTCAGCTTCAATTCAGTGTCTTTTACAAAGGCGTCCCGTTTCTTCACAAATTTATCTTTTCTCTTTACTCATGCATAATTACCTTCAAGATTAGCGCCATATCTGATAACACAGGATCAAAAAAGCCTTTAAAGGTTTTAATGTTCTTTCGTTAACAGGGTTTACATGTAAAAGTCTGGCCACTACCAGCAAGCCTATTACCTGATCTTGAATGTTTGTATTATTGCACTGGTTAGCAAGAAATAGGAAGGGTCCTAACTAGTATATAGTAATATTTTTCATTTTTTTCAATATTTATTTACACAAACATGCTGATACCACTTTTACTGACTTTTCATATTTCTAATTTGTTTTTATTTTTATTATGTAATAGTTCTGTAATAATGATATACTGTGTACTATATCATTAATTAGAAATATATCTTGCATTGATACAGGACATTCTTCAGTTGTCCTATCTCAAAGTACCAGTTTTCAATCATTAGTTCTTATAATGTAAAAGAAACTACATTAATGTGTCATCCAAAGTCATATGAGAGACAAATGAGCTAAACTGACTCCATATGTAAAATGGCACCCAATTCAAAATTGCCATTACTGTATGTATCATAAAAGTCTGTGGCTAAACACACTCAAACCACAAGGAATTCTTCTGTCAATGTTGTTATCCTTAGAAAGCAAAACTTAATGGCATGATCGCAGTTATGAAGCATGTTTAAGATGCTTCTAAAAGAAGCCAGGGAGTAATACCAGTTCCAGTTCAAAAGGTTCCTGCCTACGTTCTTTATGTTATCAGTGTCCTGTGGCTGAGCATGACCATCAATGGTGAACTGTTGCTATGAAGACCAATAAGAGATTTGATCTGTGCAATTCTTGATAAGAGGAAAATTTAAAAAGGAAAATTATAGCCAAGATGCCCTCTTATTAAGTTTGCAGAGAAACATTATATACTTGAAATTATTGTAGGGAAAAGGAAAGATAAATCTTCAGAATGTAAAGCAGACCTGGAAGGAAATCTATTGAATGGAAGCCAAGAGTAGGAGAGTCCTTGATTCAAATCCCATTCCACAACTTAATTCATTGGCCTTGAGACATCTAATTTTTTTTCAACCTTAGCCCCCTGAATCTGCAATGTAATTCTGACCTACTTTAGAAGGGGACTGGGCACATTGCCATAATTAAGTATTGAAGCAGTTAAAACACCCTAAAATACTTTGCACTTTTATTTTTAAAAAATCATGACAATTCTTTTAGAAGCTGGCTCTGTGAATTCACTGTACAATGCATTTATCCATGAGTGGCAGAAACCTTTGATGGTATAGGCATGATCATATTGTGAATTCTAGAATAGATGCTGCATACTTTTATTTTGGGAATAGGAAAGTGAGTACCCCTGAAATTCATAATCTTTCTTTTGTTGAATGTGTTGTGGGGAAGTTCTTTGACTAGATTTTCCACTTGCTACCCTTTTGTTCATACTACAATGATCACATCTCATAGGAACTGTAATAAACTGCTAAACATTGAGCTATAGCTATGTGTAAAGCTCTTTCCTCTCCCCGATAATGTTCACGTGATAGGCAGTTTGGTGTAGTGATTAAGGCACCAGTCCAGAAACTGGGACACTGAGTTCTAGTCCTGTCAGGCACAAAGCCAGCTGGGTGAGCTTAAGGAAGTCACTCTCTCTCAGCCCTAGGAAAAAGACAGTGGCACACTGCTTTTGACAATGCCAAGAAAACTGGCATTTACCAGGAATCAAGACTGACTCAGACACCAAAAGGAAGAAAAAAAATTAGGTACCTGATCTCTTTCATGTTAACATCATGATGTGTGTTGATCTGCCTTAGCCATCACAGCTAGTGATGGGGAGAAATGAAGCACGCAATGTCAGTTTCTGTCAGCATAGGCAGAGAGTATATTGCATGATAAAGAGAAGGTAAGAGGGCAAATCCAATATATAGATGGTCTTTTTAGCAGCATCTCATGATGACAGTAACATGATTTCTATTGCCAAACAGCAATATCACTCATGTAAGTAAAGTACATATTCAGAAATAGCTGACTGATTAATTATGAGCACCATTTGGAATATGTATGGATAAGTAATATGTAGGTAAGATAAATATTGGGGAACAGGGGCTTTGGATCAACCAAAGTTGAACAGAAGCTATAGCAATATATCTTGTGTCTACTGGACTATGTTGGCAAGAGGCATCTTAAAGCCTGGGGAAGATAGCAAAGGGAAAAAAAATTTGAGAACCCCCTACTGCAAAGAAACAGTAGATGGTAATTCTTATTTGCCCAACTAGTATATTTCCTATTACTTAGTTTGTAGTTTGAACATCAAGCCAAAGTTTGATTGCAAACAAGGTAAATGCTCTTCATTGCCTAATAATTAACTGATATGTAGACATCACAAAAACATGATATAGATGGAAGATGGGGTTATGCACCCTGGCATATCACTTCCATCTCCACTTTTTCTCTGCTCTGGAGAAAGATCCGACAATAACTCATAACCAAGCCAATGTGACTATGTTCTATATCACTGGAAATACAGTAGGGTTTCCGATTACCTGGAGGCCTATAATTCATCAGAACATGTACAGTTTTCTCTTCAAACTCCCCATTAACACAGGAAAGTCAGGGCCAGTGCACTCACCCTGATGTCCCTGTCCCTTAGCACATTAATAGAAATTATTTGGCCCTGCATCTAGAGCCCAGATGATTTTATAAAGGGTAGATTAAGCAAATCCATTTTTAATGACAGAATAGTACTGATGTAGTGTAGAAATCAAAGCAATATTAACTGTCCAGCTTCCTTTGTAGACTAGTTATGTTGATATGATATTATACATTAGGGGGAGATGGGCAGAGATAAATCTAATAAATAAACAAACAAACAGACAAACAAATACAGAAGCTTCCAGTCACATGAATGATCATGACTGTTCCTCATTTTCTAGCGCCAGGGCTCAAGCACTGATGGGAAGCAAAAGTGATATAGGACAATGTTATGTAGTGCTGTATGGATGTGGTAAATGGAAGCAAGCCTTTTTCTTATTTTTTAAATTTCTTTGGCTTACTACTAATTATTCCTTTTCTGTGTTTGCATAACATTGCTCATCCCTAAAGGGATTAGTCTAAGAGGTACGTATGTATGTATGTAAATAGCCAGCCACTAGGCTGCAGTTCTTCAGCAGCTTTTCAGTGCTTCATAAACATGTGAAGCAGTCTTTTGATTTGCATTGTTGGTGATATTCCTTTAAATATACCTTTTTATTTCCTCCCTCTTATTGCTGGCTAAGACTGGTTGTACTGGTTTGTGCAATCCCTTTCACTCCTTGATGTTTACCTCTTAAACTATTTATAGACTTTATCATCTACGCTCATATCATTGCTTCATATCATTGCTTGAACATAGTTTTCCAGGTATAATTGTGCAAGAATCATATTGGAGGATTTTTATGCTCTTAGCCTGCGATTTGATGCTGATAGAGTTAATTGTTTAGTCCTCTTTTTAAAAATTGTGTTAGCTATTGCACTTGACATGGTTCTTTATGAAAACTCGGTACAGAAAATGTGTATATTTTATTTAAAGGTAGCAACCATCAGTTTCAATCTGCTTCAAGCCCTTTTCCATGGACAATAATCATTCTTGAAGGATTTGGAGCAATAAAAAGAAGTTATATTAAGAAGCATTGCAGTGCCTGTACAACCTTGTGACTGTTTCCTTTCTCAGAAGAAATTGTATGTGCTTGTTTGTTAGATCTCTATCTCACTTTTCATACAAGAGCTGAAGGCAGTGTGCTTAGTGCTGCTTTCTCCTATTTTTCCTGTAGCAATAGCCCTGTGAGGTAGGGTGGGCTAAGAGAAAATCACTAGTCCACAGTTAGCCAGAAAGCTTCCGTTGCTGTGGGTGGATGAGAAGCTTGGTATCCCCAGTGCCAGCACCTAAACCACTACACCACACTGGATCCAACTAGCTGGATAAATGCTTTTGTTAACTGTGGGTTTATTCTCTGCTTTCTGACTGAATAACCCCAATACTGGTAGAGTGCATAAGACATCAAAGTGGATGTTGAATTTTGAATAAAACTATACTGGAAAGATATAACAGACCTGGACATAGCGATAGCTTTATTACAAGTCTTAGTTCCTTTGGTTCTTTAAAGATCCCCAACTGTTGGCCTTCCATTAGTAAGTGAAATGCTTTTAGTAAATATCAGGTTAAGTGGATTATGATCCAG